AGCTAAAGCAGCTGCTGTCATGAATAATTCAAACAAATCACTTAAGCCACAGTATGATGGAGCTGACTTCACAGTGGTAACCTTAGTAAATACTGTCAGAAAAGGGATAAATTAACTATTAGTGACTGAAACTTCCAGTCCTTGGGAAGTAAGAGTTGCTAAATTCTTTCTTGATTAACCTGACTGACAAAACTTCTCACCAAACCTTTTTTTCCTGAAAACGCATAATTTTTGAGACCTTAATAACTACTTGCTATGTTTCAAATGCAACTTAAATTAGAGCTATGAATTACAATGGACTTTAAAGAAGAAAGTTTCTACATTCCCAGAATCAAGCATGCAGTCCAATTTCTTCTGATTTCAGTCCCAGTAGTGCAACTAAATAATCTATAATACTGATGTAAATGTATACGATGCTGTTTAGGTCCTGAACATACAAATTCCCGCAGCACTAACTTTACACGTATGAGTGCTTCTGTTTAACTCTGAGAATTAATTACATAAATACAAATCCTTGTAAGACAGAATTCCAATAATTTTAGAATAATGAAATGTTACATATAAATACCTCTAAGGTTTAAAATGGATGAATTTTTGGGCCAGAAGGAAAATGTGAGGAATGAGCCAATAAGGAACAAACATAACATTTATATTGAAGTGTTGACTGTTAGAAAAGTGACAAGCTCAGAGTCTTTAGAAAAGCCATTTCTTTAGAATGATACTTTCTTGCCAACAACGAATAAGATATAAAGGAACGAGTAAGATCTAAGAATTTTTAACAGGAAAATATTAATAACTGTGAAAATGACAGAAATGACAACCAAATAGAGAGAAGGAATTGTGAAAGCAGCCAAGACTTCTAGGCTTACTAAGTCAGAGTACAGCAGCCTTAGAAATATGATTCTCCTGGCAGTTTCTCACACTCTCATTGACAGTTTTAGTGTCAGTTTTTGGGCTGATGACTTTTTGAAAGACAACATAATCATCTTAAATTCTTACTAGGTGATTTGTGTAATTATTGTACACCTGCTCATAGTAATCATCTGGAACTTTTTCTGCATGATGAGCTACTCTTCCTCCCTGATCCTGCAACTCTGGACAAAGGACCAAGTTCCCTTGGCTTCACTGGGAGCCTACCAGAATAATTTACTCCGTATTAAAAAAGTTAACCTAATTTATTCAGTTGTTGGGATTACAGAATTTTTTATAATTCTTTCTCTAAGAACCTCCAATTAAGTGCCTAATATCAGTATTTGTTCTTCTCCTACACATTATCCTCCACTTGGTTGTTCATTTTCATAGAGAAATAAGACTTTTTTACAATTATAATTTGAAAAGTCGTTATGTATCCTTCACTTCATGTTAACCAATCACCTTGGATTGTATTACTGAATGATTTTTTAAATGATGCTGAACTGCGTCTTTAAAACAAGTGTCTTGTGAAGAAAACTCTTGCTTCCACCTCTCTTCTTCTCAGAAACGTTAAATGTTCTATTTGCCAGATTTTACCCAATACAGTTTCACAAGAGAATACTGAAACATTTTTTTAAATGTAAAAAAGTTACCTTTAGCTAGGCAAATCAGTTCAAAATCTGACTGAGCAATAAGTCAAGTAAATGTATTAATTCCTGATATCCTAATTTCCATTTCAGAACTGGACAGTCTGAGCAGCAGTAAATGTGTACTTTTACCTACATGAATTTTTTATAAGAATGACCTGGGTGATCTACATGATGTAGTCTGGATGATCTTCCTGACTTTCCTTTCTGTCATTTCCCCCTCTCTCAGCATGATCCTCTCATTTAAGCCTAGATTTATTACGCAGCCTGGTCAAACCAGCACACTGACTGACTCCAGGGCAGGAAAGACTACAGTGAAAAGAAGTTTTTTATCTGAGGAACTTGTCCTGCCTGTGTCCCTCTAGGCTGCTTCCAAAAGGGGTGTTGCTGTTGTCGCCTGCTGCTTGCACTGTGTGCCTGCCTAAGGGAACCTCCAAAAGACATTCTTACTAACATGAATTCTTCAGCCCTATCTCAAAACACTCCTATAGATAAGGAAACAGTTCAAGACAGATTTTCATCTGCGGATGTTTTTTCCTCTCCGCTTTAAGCATGAGAAACCCTGACATATCTGAAGCTTAAGGATATTTAGTTATGTACCTAAAGATTTACTTGTTTTCATTGTACTAGCCTTAGACTTCACTCAAATAGCACTCCAGGATGCTGCTGCACTACACATAATGTAAGCCTGTAAGTAGATGCTTCTTACTCCATGGAACACAAATATGTTCTCTGTGCCCATTCTCAAGAAAAATTGCCTTTAGAATTTTTATGGGCTATTTTCACCAACTCAAAGACAGACATTATTGGGCCTAGTATATACTTATTCACAGAGGAAACCATGAGTTGACCAAATAATAGGCAACATAAAGGAGCTTAATACAGAAGGGTCTGCAAGCATTTGGTAAAAGGATTTCTCAAGTGCCTCAGGCAATTGCTGTTGACACTAGGAAGAATGTAGCACTGATTCTCCCTTCTTTACCTGATAATCCTCAGAAAAAACTTCTTTTCCTGAGTAATCCATTAATATTTATTTTATGCATGGCTTCTAGCAACCTGCCAGACTCTGGCAATTCTATGTGATTAATCTCATGCTGTTTTGCCAAACTATGTATCCTTAGATTACATATCCTTACAGATACAAGTCACCAAAGAGAAGGTTTAAGATACAGTTGTTCCAAGGCCATGGGCTTCTGAAGGGGAGAAAAAATGCAATTGTCCCCTTGCTAATGGCACCACATAGGGCATGGGAGCAGCTCAGTGCTGCTCATCAGTGTGATGCTGCAGTGTCACACCATGCAACACTCTGGCATGAGTTGTCTTACACATGGGCAAACTATTATCCCATATTACACAGAAGAGGGTGGGTATGAAATCTGTTCTCTTAGAAATCAGCAGAAACCTTTCAACTGAGTCCTCAGGAGAAATAATATCTCCTACAGAAATGAACAAGACTATGAAAACCGTCTCCTCTTGTGTCTTAAGGATTTGAAGTTAAAGAAAGAAACACATGACAAAATGGTCAATAAACAATGATGCCCAGATTTCTTGATGCTTAGCAGTTCCAATGGTTTTTCTGACCTTTGAATGTTTTTTCAGACCTTTCTGACCTTTGAGTTTTCTGCATTTCACATAAAATAAAAAAGGAAAGAGAGAATTTTACTTAATTTCTTACAATTATTTCCGTTTTCAAAACTATTAATTGGTTTCAGTAAGTGGTCAAGGAAGTGCACTGCAGAAATCCTTCCTGCACATTTGTTCTTTGTGACAAGCCCTTTTACTCCCACATAATTCTTATGTTTGAAGCACATCTAGTTGTCCAGGAGTCTTTTCTCAGTCTGGCCACATTCTTGATCCAATGGGTGGTGGATGTGCCTCCCTTAACACCAACCACGTAAAAACTAGAGGAGTTCTCTCTCAACACAGATTTAGTGTTAGTGTATAGCAAACGGAGAGAGGAAAGTAGCACCATGGACAGATTTGTCCCACCTTGAAAGATAGGTTGGATGAAGTGCTGTGGATGTGTATGTTACTGCTTTAAAGCAGAGAAATCTACACTAGTGGTTTAAAAGGCCTGACCAAGTTTTGGATGACCATTTGTCTTGATCACAGCACAATAGCGAGGAAGTGACAGACTGCAGCTGTATCTGCCTGCAAAATGATAATTTTTACCCCCAGGCCTGAAGTGACTCTTGTTTAAATGAAGAACGAGTTGGGCTCCTGCCACTATGTGGCACAATTAACAGTTGAACCCTTAACATTTAGAGGGTTATAAAAAAAACAAAGCTGAAGTGTTCCCATGCATGAACCACCCAGCATAACTGGGTGCAGCACTGATAGTCAGAGAAATACAGTCAGATTTAGGCCTCAGATTTTACTGGCAAGAGCAATTGTACATCTCTTACCCAACATATAGGCACAAGTCTGGGCTCCAGAATATTCCAGCAGTACAGCCTGAAAGTACATGCATCAGAAATCTGGATGCAGGTGAGCTGTGGCTCTCAGTAGAAACAAATAAGATTAAAAAACTCCACTACTACAAATTTAGTTGCTTCACAGCAAAGAATCCAGACACTAACGTGTTCAAAATCAGTGTCTGTTATCTGGATCCTAATGGCAGCTGACTTTTTTTCTGCTCTGAATCACCCCAATTCCATCGTCAAGCTAGCAAGCACGTCAAGCTTCTCTGAAAACGAAGATCCCAGTGTGCCGTGCTACAGCAAAGCTTCAAGACATCAAATACAGCATTTGTGTCCCACTAGGGCCCATTAGATTTGTGCCACCAGCACAGCTGAACACTGGTTTCTTTTGTGCCCTCAATTAAATGCTCCCTGAACTCACAGTAAAGGCATGCTGACAGACGCAAGATGGGGAAAAATGCTGTCATATGCATCCTGTTGGATGTTACTTTTGGAAGGACGACCACCATTCTAGCACTCTGCAAGTGTTGACTGGCGCAACAGCGTAGGAGAGACATAAGCATTTGGGAGAGGCTGGGAGATTTTTAAGGGGAGGGGGTTAAATAATTTCAAAGCGAAGCCAGCCAGCCGAGGCGAGGGGAGGAGCTGGGGTAGGGGCTTCGCTCTTCCCTGGGCCGAGCCTGGCAGCGCGGGAGCGCTTTGCCAAGTGGCAGCCGGCTCTGGCGGCCGCTCGGGCCCGAGCCCAGCGCGGCTGCGACCCCGCGCCCCCGCCGAGCGGAGCGGGCAGGGGCAGGGGGGCGCTCGGGGCGGGTCGGGTCGGCCAGCCCAGCCCAGCCCGTCCCAGGGGTCGTGCCGCCCGCCCGCCGTGCCGGAGGGCGCCAGAGCAGCGGCTCCGTCCAGGCGCTTCCGGGCGCGCCGGGCGGCGGGGGAAGGAGGAGAAAGAGGAGAAGAAGGAGGAGGAGGAGGAGGAGGAGGAAGGGAGGTGTGGGTGGAGGGGAGGAGAGGGGAGGGGAAGGAGGGGTGGAGGGAGGCCGGCTTTTTTAGGAGGGAGACCCTCCTTCGCGGCCGCCCGCTCGCAGCCATGGCTTTGAAGGAGGCGGGCGGCAGCATCCTGCCCATCAGCGACATGGTATCGGGGCCGTCGGGCTCGCCGTTCCCCGAGGTGGTGGAGCTGAACGTGGGAGGCCAGGTGTACGTGACGAGGCACTCCACGCTGCTCAGCGTCCCGGACAGCACGCTGGCCACCATGTTCTCCCCGTGCCGGGGTGGCCCGGCGGCGGCCCGCCAGCTGCCCAGGGACAGCCGGGCACGCTTCTTCATCGACCGCGACGGCTTCCTCTTCAGGTACGTGCTGGATTACCTGCGGGACAAGCAGCTGGCGCTGCCCGAACACTTCCCCGAGAAGGAGCGGCTCCTGCGGGAGGCCGAATACTTCCAGCTGGGCGACCTGGTGAAGCTGCTGTCGCCCAAGGTCACCAAGCAGAGCTCACTCAACGACGAGGGCTGCCAGAGCGACCTGGAGGATAGCAATTCGCAGGGCAGCAGCGACCGGCTTCAGCGGGCGGCGCTGGACAAGCGCTCGGGCTTCCTCACCGTGGGCTACCGCGGCTCCTACACCACGGTGCGGGACAACCAGGCGGACGCCAAGTTCCGCCGCGTCGCCCGCATCATGGTGTGCGGTAGGATCGCCCTGGCCAAGGAGGTCTTCGGAGAGACCCTCAATGAGAGCCGCGATCCCGACCGCCCCCCCGAGAAGTACACCTCCCGCTTCTACCTCAAATTCACCTACCTGGAGCAAGCCTTCGACCGGCTCTCCGAGGCGGGCTTCCACATGGTGGCTTGCAACTCCACTGGCACCGCCGCCTTCATTAACCAGTACAGGGACGACAAGATCTGGAGCAGCTACACGGAGTACATCTTCTTCAGTAAGTGCTGGCCGCGCTCCCGTGCCGTCCTGCTCCTCCCCACCCCCGGGGGATGCATGACGGTGTCAAGTTAAAAGTACAGATGCACCCCTATACTGTAGCCCTTCCTGTCCCAAAGCGACATGAAGCTGGAGAGAAACGTGGGCTGCCCCCTTTCCCCTCTCACTCGTTTCTGTCACCGCCACAGTTCAAATTCCATTTTGTGCGTTGTGGGGGCGGGACAGGGCTGCCTGATGCCCCGTCCGGAGCGCGGCGTGGAAGCAGCTCCCCCCACTCCGTGAAGCAGCCGGGGCTGCTGCTACCTTTTGGTGCCGAGGGGAGAGCTGACCCCTACGTGTCGGGGTCTCCCGGGGGAAGTCGCAGTGGGTCGGGATCGGGGGGCTGCGGCGCCCGGAGGGTCCCTGCCCCGCTGGTCGGACGCGGGTGCGGTGCGGGCACGGCTCCGGCTCTGCTCCGGCGCAGAGAGTTGCGGTGCTCCCTGCCAGCCAGGCGGCGCAGAGATCTCAGCGGCGGAGCCCCGAGCAGGGAAGGGTTTTAATATTTTATTGCTGCGTTTTCTTCGAGTGAGCGCACTGCGCCTGGGCACGGTACCCGGGAGGGAAGGAGCAGGGAGGGCACAGCCAACTTCCCGAGGAGCAAGAAAGAGTCAGACTCTAAGGTGGTAGAAAAATGGAAAAGAGAAAATAAACCCCTGCGTAGCCAGTACACAGCTCCTGAGCAACTTCGCTAGTTGGCTGCGGGTAGCCTTGAAGGTTTCGGGTCACTCGCAAATCGGAAAACCGAGCGATGACGAATGAGTTTCAATCTGGCAAAGTATGTAGTGCTATGTAGGGCACTGGCTGAGCAGCGGGTTCGCGTGATGAAACCGCAGCTGGATGGAGAACACAAACCCCTGGCAGAGATTTGTCTTTGAAAGAGAGAGGCAACCTTAAACATTACAGATGTGTTTGAGAGTCGAGTGAGCCGGAGGAAGAGAGAGATGTTGTGCATTCACTTCTTTCTTCTCCTGCCTCTGTGTGGTCTCATGCTCCCTAAGCACAGGAGGGACGAATTGGCAGAGCATCTGCCTGCCTGTGGTGAGGTGGGAGATGCAGCCTCCAACTAACTTCAGTAATAGGGCAGCTGAACATAAGCAACTTGTTTTGTGTGCAAAACTGGACTTAGGCACAGTACTTAAAAAAGGAGGGAACTGTGAATGGTTTTCTACTGAGAGGAGAAACTAATTACATTGTTTGGATTGCTATATATTATAGAGGTGGTTACCAACCTTTACTGAGCAGACTGAACTACTCAGATCAATCTTGAAAACGGTATTAAAACAGTTTTTGAAGAGTCATTGCATAACTTATATCTGGTCATATTTCAATAAGATATGTAAAAACTGAGCTGTAGAGAAGCTTCACATTCTCCTGGGTGGACTTCTATTAAGTATTTTACTATCAAATATTTGATATTGTTAAATCATTTTTCTGGGAAAAATGGACATACTTTTCTAAATAGTAGAAATTCCTTATTGTTATTATCAAGACTATGAAATAGTCTGTTCCATTTGCTTAGAAATAGATTTGTAGATGCATAATTATTTATGTGCATTTGTGATGCTCATAACGTTTTAGTTATTTTTGTGTGTGTCTGTGTTATGATAAGGTTGCTGTATACAGTCCTCTGATTCACATCACTGTTCCAAATTAATCCCTGCTGTAATACCCCTGATTTATGTGGAATAATGCCAGGGATGAATTGGATGTTGTACATCATGATTTTTGTTTTAGTTTTTAGTACTCCAGCTTCTGATGTTATGAAAAGTAAAACAGTTATTTAATTACTTAAATTGATACAGTTAACTGAAAATTTGTCCTTGCTTAATATTTTGGGTGGGTTGGCGGTTGGTTTTTTTTTTTTTTACTTCTGAGTGCAAAAAATGGCTGAGATAAAAGTAGGTTGAAAAGATGTTGATTGTATTTTAATTTTTGTTGCTTGTTACACATTTAGAAACCTTTTTGTATAACAACTTTGTACATTGTTGTGTGATCAGATAGATTTTTCTGAGATAGAGCAAGATGGAAACAACACTTAAGAAAAATCACTGAAGTGGGAAGAGAAATATGCAAAACACAGTGCCTGAAGTAAATGCTTTAGGAATTTTTGTTGTTTTCTTTTTTTTTAAATCTGACTAGATGCCCAATTGATGGAGACTTGATTAAAAAAATACTTTATTATAATAATAATAATTACAAAATGCCCTGGATGGATTGGGTGCTTGCTCTTGCCTTGCCTGACTGATGCACAAAAGTCCAGCAAAGGGAGAGCAAACCTTGGAAGCCTTGGTGCTCTGCAGCAGGGGTGGGAAGATGGGTCGGGATTACTGGCTGTAGGGTCTCCAACAGCATTAGCCAGGATCGTGTTCCTTCCTAGCTCACAAACAAGGCTTACTAGACAAGGAGAAGAGCAACCGCTTTTCAGTTTTTTTATTTGCCAAATGTCCCCATGAACCCCAGAAAGGAGGCAGTTTTGGTTGGGAAGTTGCTGATTTCAAGAGCTCTCAGGGAGAATGTACAGCCCTGGACTGTGTCTTACAGACAAAAAAATATCATAACCAAAGACTTTAGGGAGCCTGTTCCAGTTTTGGCCGGTACCTGAGGCTTAATTCGGTGCTAGTGGAGAAGAAACCTCCTTTTATGTCCCGCTGGAAAAAACTGTACCTGCATTTGCATTTGTTATTCACAGCATGAGCTTCTGCAACCAGCAGCAACTGTATTAGTTGTTGATCGGTAAGTCTATAGCAGTCATATAAACTTTGTTTTCACCGTTTCTCATGAGGGCTGTGGACAGTTCTGCTTCCTAGTTATGATAGATAGCGAAGTGATTGGAAACATACATGAAGATGTATACATTCTACCTGTTTCCTCAGGTCAAAAGCAGGTGAATAAGTGTCTCAGCAAGAGCTACTAAGGAGTATTTGAAGGCCAGAGGTTTAATCTGTTGGTTTGTGGAACAGTTTTCAGTTCTGTTTCTATTATCTCTCAAACTTTGGTAGGTTTTTTGAGTTGAAATACCATCTATCACTTTTCCAATAAAATGGAAATTATTTCATATTCTTAAACATTCCAGCAGATCAAATTCACCTGGGGTACTGCATGTATATTTAACTAATTTATGAAATGCTTGATATCTAGGGATGGATTAGTCAGACTAATTCTAATTGAAAAACTAGAGGTTGTTTGAAATTGCTTACCAGGAAATAATGCTTCAGCCTTTGGCAACATGTCCTGACAAAAACAGACTTTCCTTCTTAATATATATAAATCCTATAAAAAATGTTACATTCTTTGCCCCCAGTGGTGTTCAAGCTATCATGCATGCAATGACATCTTCATTTGTCTACACAGTTAAGCACGTGGCCAGAATTTACCCTGCATCTTGTATTGGTGGCTTAGTTCTGAAAACTGCTCACATATCTGTTCCGTGTGTCCATTACAATTCCCATCTCCTAACGGTCAATGAAAGGAATAAACTTTTACATGGTAGTGAAAAGGCTCTATCAGAGTGTACCAACTTTTCCTTTTTTTGTTTGTTTGTTTTTACCCCCTTATAGCCTGGTTCCATGTTATTAATGCTCTCACCTCATCACACACGGGGATGACTGGGGTCAGGTTAATGTAACATGAAATTCATATGGAGTTTGGGAAAGAGGCTGAAGCTCTTTTGCTGCTTAGTTTCAAACTGCCATGGAGGACAACGGTTTAATTATCTATTGGTGTGCAATAGGTGATGGCCTTCACAGAAGTGGCTTCTAACTGGAGACAGGAGACCTTGCTTCTTCATGTGACTGCGGGCACTGTAACATACCTTCTGTTAGCTGGCCTCTTTGTGAGAAAAGGGTGCAATGTACATTGTTTGGTTGGGGTTTTTTGATTTTTTTGGGGGGTTTTTTGTTTGTTTTTCTGTGGTTCACTGTTGTGTAGTGCAAGATTGCCTGTGTGTGCTATTACTATTTTTTTCTTCTGTGGAATCTAATTGGTCTTAATGGATTTTACATTTAGCATCTGCTATGCAATCTGACTTATGGGTGTTGAGAGCATTGTGCTCAGCTGGAAGCTTTCTGTGCTGAACTGACATCTTTATTGTAGGAAGAATGCAATACTATTTCCTGAAAACTTTGATATCCTTTCTATGTTGACACTCCTATTTCACATGTGAGTTTCTGTTTCCTTGTCTCTTGTTTTTGCTTGTAACAGGTGACATTTGCATGAATTTATGGTGCTTATTTTCCACTTGAAGTCACAGCACTCTGAGATTATATTGGTTGCTGTGGAAATTGTCATAAACAAGTGATAATAACTTTAATCAGTGGGGAATAAGCAGTTGGAAGCAATGAAGTTTTAGGAGACAATGTGGTATTTTGAAAAAAAAACAAACCCAAAACTCAAACAAAATTATGCTACCAACCCCCCCAAAACCCCACCAAACAACAACAACAACAAAACCCAACCGAAATTGTTTGTGTCATTGCAATAAAAAGGAGAAGAAAGCAGAAGGTGACGCTTGAAACATAGGGAACAAATGTATGTAAAATACTTTGAGGAGTTTGCTCTGTAAATGCCAAATCCAATTCAAGGTCACACTGGAATAGCAAGGTGATAGTGAGTCAGCAGATAACCCTAAACTGCTCTTTTGAGGGCAGAGTGGTGTGAGAGCCATCCTGTGGCTGATTTCTGTGACCATGCCAAGCTGCTCTCTAGCCATCACTGCTTATTTGATGGAGTTTTTACTATGTGGAGTATACATGTGCTTTTTTTTTTATTTTTTTTTTTAATAGGGAACAATTATATGTAAGATGTGCCAGGCTGGGGAGAAAAGAGACCAAGACAAAGGTAAAAAAAGGGTATTGCTTCTCCGTGGCACATTGAGATAAAGTTGAACAATTTACTTTGAGCCTGAACCAGAGCCTTAAAGATTAGAGTACAAATTTGTGGTGGTACAGGATGACAGAAAGGATTAAATCAGTATCACAAACACAGTGTAGAAAAGCTTCAGTTTTCTAACAGTGTCAAGATCTAGGAATGTTGTTTCTGATAAGACTACTGAGCAAAGCCCTTAAAAGAGAAATTTTTTAGGCAGTCCTGTGACTTTGGAAAACTGACATAAAACTTCAGGATATTCTGCCTTATGATTCCAGCTCAACTCTAATACATCTTAAAAATAAATAAATAATAGACTATCTTGTCATTCTTCCAAAATATATGTCCTTGAATCACA